ATTTCTTAGGACAAAGAGTCATTTTATCTTGTCAGGTGTTCTCATATTCAGATCATTTTCTCCATTTGAAAGGAATTATTACAAAATGGCTGGGCTTCTTCTGTTTGATCAGAAATTACCCATCTAGCATCTGATCCTAAATAAACCATTCTGTATCACATTCCACAGTATTACAGAATAGAGAAGTCTTTCTCAATTTCACATTTTAAAACTCAATAAACTTAAGCCATGAATTTCTTTGCAATTTTCCACATGACTTACTATATATACACACACATTATTCAAACCAGTTTTATTTGCATATGACTTACCTTACATATATACATTATTCAAACCAGTCTGACAAGTACAGCTTACATAATTCTGGCCAACCATATAAACAAAAGTCCATAGAAAGACTTGATTTGACTATTACAAGTTACATGATCTCAGTTGAGACAAATATCTGAACTGGGATTTACTTCCTCATCTATAAAAATGAGGATGACTACACTTGTCTTTTGTTACCTTTCATGGTTAAGGATTAAATAAGATTTTCAAAAACTAAAGTAAAACAAAAATAAGATATGACATATTTTGAAGTCTGAATAAAAAAAGCTAGGTTTTCAAAATACTAAGGAATTATTTGTCAAATATGCTTATAAATCATAAATTTTAAAAAGCTATAACTTAGATCAATTATGTTTTTAGATATGTTAGAGATTAAAATTAAAGCTTCCAAGTACAATGACACCTCTAAAATGATAGGATCTACAATATTATCCTCTCTTTGGGAAAATAATATTGGCATGGAATTTTATTACTTTTGTATAATGTTAAATCACCTTACAGTAAATGCTCATACATTCAAATTTTAAACCCAAATGTATGAACTCCTAATACACACTGTACTATATTTTAACTGCACTTTCACTTTTCCTAACTTATTTGTTCAATCTTTGTTTTCATATTATGTAACAAAAATTGTGCAACATTGAAAACATCAAAACTATTTCAATAAATTATAGTCCCACTCCCCCAAAACACTGAAATGCCACAAGCAGCAAAATTAGGTTTCTCTCTGTTTAAATTTTAGGTAAAACAATAAAGTAACTTATAACTTGGAGGAAGAGAAATGGTTTCTAAGAGTTTATAATCTCTGTCAGAGGTTGGCAAACTACAGCCCTCATCTACTTTTAGACAAATTTTGAGATACAGCCATACCCACACTTTTGCTGCAACAGCATAATTATTACTGAGACAGAGGCCACTGGACGGTTTCCAGAGTTAGCCAAATACTGAGCTAATCAATAGAGAACAAATTCTCAAATGTCAAATGTTTTCATTTAAAAATTAATCTGCATGGTCAATCTATCTGACTGCTTTCTACTATCTCCACTACTACTTGCCTGGTCCAAGCCACCATCTTGTCCCTGGATTAGTGCAACTCTCTCTGATTTGATCTTGTCCATCTACTTAGTCCAGTACAGTGTATCTGCAAACACAGCAGCCAAATCAATCCTTTAAGAACTGTCAGATCCTCTCTTTTCCTTCCAATAAGAGTTAACACCCAAAGTCTTTACAATGACCTTCAGAAAGTCTTATTTCTCATAGAATTTTTTATTACTCTTCCCTTCCTTCATTCCCCTCCAACCATACTAACCCCCTTTTTCTTGAACTGGCCTGGCATATTTTCTGTTAAGTCGTTTATAATGGCTATTCTGTCTAGAACATTCTTCAGACATCTGCATGGCCAGCTCAGTGACTCCCAAGTGTTTGTTTAAATTTGGTCTGGAAATGAGGCCTACTCAGAGTATCCCACCCAGAACTCCCTAATCCCTCACCTTCAACTACTGTAGACGATTTATGCTATGTTATGTTTATTGTTTGTCCCCTCTTTCCTATCCTGCCTAGTCTCAACTGCAAGAACCTGGAACACTTGTAGTTGCTAGGAAGACACACAGGAGAGTAAGTGGTACTAATGAACTGCGGGAATGAAAAATATGTTCATAAAATAGGACTATAGGTAATTTAGCAAAAGTGTAGAAAAAAGCTATAATGATTAAATTTTGAGTTAAAAAAAACACCCAAACTCAAGACATTAAATCACCTAGTTTATTGTCTTTAAAATAAAAACTAAGCAAAACACACACACATACACACACCAGAAAACAAAAACTCACTCATATTTTAATGAAAAGGGATGTGCAGAAAAGGATTATCTAAGAATGCCAAATCAAAAACTAGGTGCCAGTCTGTTTTACTAACCATATTAAAATAATTCAGATTGACTAATCAGTATGATTTCATAAATCTACCTATAATTTTATAAGCATTTATTCCAAACATCTTACACCTATATCTTGCTTCCAAAAGATTAATGAGATCACAATTTTCAATTCAAGGTAGTTACAGACTATTTAATAGAGCCAGAGTTGATGTTACATTAATAATGAAGCAAAGCAGTCTCTTGCACCTATTCCCACAACCCAAAGGACTGCCACAGTGATATTTAGCAAGGTTCCCAGAGAATGACTGAATGCAAGTATCAGTTAACATATCAAAATCATTAACTACCCCCACCTTGATTCAGAGTTGATAACTTAAAAACTCCCCGGTTACCTTAAAATTTTTTAAAATGTAAGACTTTGTAGAATTACATATCACGATGTAACTATTCTTTGACAAAACAAAACAAAAAATCCCTTATTTTGAAATGGTAGTGATTAAGCTAAATTTTTTTAGGGAACTTCTGCAAGACTAAAAATGTAGTAAAGCATTCTAATGCTTCATAAAGTTCTTTTTAGAATGTTATCACCAAACAAACAATTTCTTGTAATTGTCAGGGCAAAGCCACAGAGTAATCTTTGACATAGTTCACAATTAAAGGCTTTAAAAATTAATATAATAGCCACCATTTACAGAGTGTTTACTGTATGCCAGACACTGTGCTAAGCGCCTCCGTGTATTTAATGGGTTCTTTAATCCTCACAAAAACCCTAGACTGCTACTATTATCTGCATGTTACAGAGAAGGAAACTGAGCTCAAATAAGTTAAATACCATGAGCCTAGGACCCCAAAAACACATTCCAAAGATTGTGCTGTTAACCATTACCAGAACTGTCTCCCTGAATTCTCCTTGGATTTGCCCCCAATAGAAACATAAACAAGACTGGCTATCACTGAGGTCTACACTGTAAAATGCTTAATACTGACTGACTACCAAACAAGTGAAATGTTCCAGTTTTGTGTCTTTTGTAGCTGTTCACTATTAGCATAAATAAATCAAAGAGGATGTTAAAATGTGCAAATGCAGGTTTCCAAAGTTTCAAAAAAAAAATTTAGTGACTTAATGTGTGAAAAGAGCCAAACTAATTATACGCAGTGTTTAGAAATGCAAACCAAAATACTGAAAACCAGTGTTTTAGGAGTTGGAGGACTTGGAATTCATTCCCAGTTCTATCAGTCCTGCAACTCTGGCCCAGTCAGTTCGCCATCACGATGCATTTCCCTCACCTGTGAAGCAAAAGCGATGGGCTAAACAACCCAAGATGTTTTATCAGCTCTTCAGACAGCCCTATCTGGGAAGGACGAGGGCACTGTTTTAAGTACTGAATTTTCCTTCTAAAACACATTTTGAAGTAGGGATTTATATTCACTATGCCCCCATTCTTCCCATAATCCTTTGGGAATAGGTCTTTTCTGAATAAATATTTTAATAACAGTGCTTCGCCAGCACGCATTACTGATCCTTTCTATTCCAAAGGCTTTGCTCTTAACCACAATCGTTGGTCCCCTGAAGCTATGGGTCAGTTACGTTATACAAGCAGAATTCAAGAATCAGGGCTAACGCGCCCAGAGCCGCGCAAGGATTCGATAAATAGCTATTCTGTTTCGCTAATGCCTGTATTATTAATACGACTTCTTATATAAGTAGAAATACTGTCTGGGTAACCTCAGGCCTGCACAGGAAGTGATGCGATTCATAGTAACAGACACTAAGGTCTCTCAAAACCAGGGATGCTTTGGGCCAAGAGAACACTTCGTTAACAAGCCAACGCTGCGCTCAAACCTGCAAAACTGCTTTCTTGAATTCTCCACCTGGGCTTTCTGGCAGACGCTACGCTCTCCAAAAAACAGGACGGACACCAAGAACACAAAGCTCTGCTGGGGGGTGGGGGGTGTCAAGCCCCAGGCCGCCGCAGCTCGCCAGCAGAAACTGACAGAGCCCAGGCGAGGCGCGCTCCGCGGCGCACAGCGGGGCCACCCCCACCCAGGGTCGCCTCCCGCAGGCCGGCAGAAAAGCTCCGGGTAGTTAACAGACGGCTGCAATCAGCGACCCTCTTCCCCCGAAGCGGACAGAACGTTTCTGGAAAACCCAGATTCAGCGCTGAGCACGGGAACCGGGACAGAGCGCGGGGCACGTGAGGGGCTCGAGCGAGAGGCGTCACAGCCAGAAGCTCGCCGGCTGAGGAAGCGGCGGCTGCAAGCGCCAGTCCCGCCAATGTACCTTGCGTCCAGCGGCAGAAGATAGTGTCGGAGAGGCCGGGGCTGCTCTTGGTGCCCCACACCAGCTCCATCAGCTCTTTGGTCAGTTCGGACATGACAGAGTACAGGCAGGCGGGTCTTCGCTTTCAGGACTCCTGCCCCGGAACATGGGCATGGGGCGACTTCGGAGACAGAAGGGGCAGGACCGGTGCAGCAAACGAATTCGAAGACTAGGCTGGAAGAAAGCGAAAGGAGAGAGAACTACTGGCAGGGACCGCGCCTGTCAAGCTGGGTACGAAGCAGCGGCAAGGAGTTTCCCTACCGGAAGTGCCCGTGCCACTTCCGGATCCTCTTTCACCCCGACGCAGGGGAGGTGCCCGGTAGTGGCCTCCCCGGAAGCGGAAGTGGGGGCGGGAAGAGCCGCGGAAGGCCGTGGAGGCGGCCTTTAACCCTTGTGAGGCATTTGGGGCCTTTAGGTGGGCTGGTGGGTTCTGCACACCGACGAAAGCACACCCGTGGGCGTCAGCATGGTTTTCTCACTCTTGGAACACGCCCCTTCCATCCCCGCCCCGGGGACTCTGTGGTCGCAGCTGCTGGAAGTTCTCAGTTCCAAGCCCTTGGGCCTAGAACCTATGCCACCTGCCTTAAAATTCCTGATAGTAATTAAGCACAGAATTCTAAGACATTGGTTGAGTCATAGTGAGTGAGGCAATAACCTCGCCTGTGTAGGATATATTGGAGGCTGACTGCCTCTGTGCCTTGATAAAACGTGTAAATTTGAAATGGCTGGTACTTAGAAAATCCTAAGACTGTAACAGGTGTAAGATAAAATTAAAATCTATTTGTAGGGAAAACAGCATTTTAGCTCCAATTTGGGGAAATGTAGGGTGTGTGGACAGCACCTGGAGTTAAAGTCAGGTCTTATTCATTGAATAGTGCTCAGTTAAATTTAGTTTGTGTGAAAACATTTGTGCTGCTTAAAAAGGAGATAAATTGTCCTTTTGAATTTGAAACAGGAGAATCTGATATTTTAAATTTTGTCTTCATTTCTCAAAGATTTGTGTCCCTTGGAAACCATTTTACCTTTGGGTGCAGTGCTTTTTCATTTACCTGGAAGATAGCAATCCTTCATTATATTTTTTTCCGTTCTAAAATGGTCATAACATTTCATCTATTATAAGGAGTTACCATAAATGTGAATGCATGCAAAGTATTAAGTCTACTTTCTGGCACATAGAAGGCATTTAAAAATAAGAGGTGTTTCTGCCTAAAGAAGTATCATGTGGGAGCCTAATACAACGATGACATTTTCTGACTTTTTTACTCAAAATCTAGCTAATTGTGTGTGTGTGTGTGTGTGTGTGTGTGTGTGTGTTTTCCCCACAGGCAGAGTTAGAGAGAGAGACAGAGAGAAAGGTCTTCCATCTGTTGGTTCACTCCCCAAATGGCCGCCACGGCCAGTGCGCTGTGTCGATCCGAAGCCAGGAGACAGGTGTTTCCGTCTGGTCTCCCATGCGGGTGCAGGGCCCAAGCACTTGGGCCATCCTCTACTACCTTCCTGGGCCATAGCAGAGAGCTGGACTGGAAGAAGAGCAACTGGGACAGAACTGGTGCCCCAACCGGGACTAGAACCTGGGGTGCCAGTGCCACAGGCAGAGGATTTAGCCAAGTGAGCCATGGTGCTGGCCATGTGTTTTAATATAGTTTTTTTTTTTTTTCAGGCAGAGTGGACAGAGAGAGAGAGAGAGACAGAGAAAAAGGTCTTCCTTTTCTGTTGGTTCACCCTCCCTCAATGGCCACTGCGGCCAGTGCACTGTACTGATCCGAAGCCAGTAGCCAGGCGCTTCTCCTGGTCTCCCATGCGGGTGCAGGGCCCAAGCACTTGGGCCATCCTCCACTGCACTCCCAGGCCACAGCAGAGAGCTAGACTGGAAGAGGAGCGACCGGGACAGAATCCGGTGTCCCAACCGGGACTAGAACCCGCTGTGCCGGCGCTGCAAGGCGGAGGATTAGCCTATTGAGCCGCGGCGCCGGCTTTAATATAGCATTTTATGTTCCCTAATGTCAAAACATGCAGTTTAATCTAGTAGGATGCCCTTACATTGCCTAACTAAATTAATCCCTAATTTAAAACCTACCAGGTTGCAAATAAGAAGGTTTTCCTAATTTATACTTTATTTCCAACTTAAGCATCTTTTTCCTTAATTTGTGAGAATTACTCAAAGTGCTTGGAATATACTCATGGGTTTTTTTTTTTTCCCTTTAGATTTTCTTCATCCCATTTTTGCAAATTTAATTTTACCTACCCCTCAAGAATATGCACACTACTTAATGGTAAAACTTTCTCTGATCATTACCATCTACAATAATAATTATAATTTCTGAATTTTCATGATACTTATCTGTAACTTGCTTTTGATAATTACTGTCATCCTTGCATTTGCAAAGAATTATTTACTCTTCTTGGATATAAATTTGTGGAAGCCAAGGATGCGTCTTTTTATACTTCTAGCATACAGCCTTGATCATTACTGTACCTCATTAAGTATTATTGGAAGGAATGGATACCTACCTTCACTGGAACTTAAGAATTCCTATCTTTCACAAGTGAGATCTCAGGGGAAATAGCACCGACTGGTCCCGTTAAATAGCTAATATTTGCATGATTACAAATCACAAAATTCTTTCATTTCATTAAAGTCATAGAGAAGTCTATGTACATAGAGTCCATTAGTAGTAGATCTCTAAGTTCAGATGTCTTTGCCACATTTTATTTCTATTAATGCATGCAAATATTAAGGTACAGAGTATATATTATTCTGTCACATTTGTTTTGTTAGTATAGTTACAGGTTTGATTATTATGTATAAATACAAAGAAAAAACTGGTTTTAAAATTTTTTTTTAAGTTTTGTCAAATTTTTTTAAAGATTTATTTATGTATTCGAAAGGCAGAGTTTCAGAGAGGCAGAGGCAGAGAGAGAGAGAGAAAGAGAGAGAGAGAGAGAGAGGTTTTCCATATGCTGGTTCATTCCCTAGATGGCCACAATGTCCAGAGCTTTGCTGATCTGAAGCCAGGAGCCAGGAGTTTCTTCTGGGTCTCCCAAGCAGGTACAGGGGCCCAAGGACTTGGGCCATCTTCTACTGCTTTCCCATGGCATAGCAGAAAACTGGATCTGAAGTGGAGCAGCCAGAACTCGAACCAGCACCCATATGGGATGCTGGCACTGTAGGTGGTAGCTTTACCTGCTATGCCACAGCGCTGGCCCCTCAAAATTACTTTTAAATTTGGAAAATGCCTTGATTTATTATTTTACCTGTAGTTTCTAGCTGCAATGAAGCTGGCAAAATCTTGAGTGGACATTGATATGGATGTCCTTTCCTTTAAGTTATATTCCTTATTTGTAATGTTTTAAATTTTTTAACTAGTAGGACATAGTTTTTAACAATATTTGATTAATGTTGATTTAACTTGCTTAAGAAGTATTTATTATTTATAATGTGAACTTAAATTGTGAACTTGCAGGGGCCAGCACTGTGGTATAGTAGGTTAAACCTTTGCCTGTGGTGCTGGCATCCCATATGGGTGCCCGTTTGAGTGTTGGCTGCTCCACTTCTGATCCAGCTCCCTGCTGATAGCCTAGCAAAGCAGTAGAAGATAAAATTTTATTTATGCTTGGGCCCTGCACTCACATGGGAGACCAGGAGGAAGCACCTGGCTCTTGGCTTTGGATCAGCTCAGCGCACCGGCTGTAGTGGCCATTTGGGGTGTGAACCAATGGAAAAGGAAGACCTTTCTCTCTGTCTCTCTCTCACACTAACTCTGCCTGTCAAAAAAAAAAGTAGTCAAGCTTGTTACATCTGATACTGGATGACAATGCTTTTGTTTTAATGACTTGAAAATTATGAAAGTGCTCTCTGGAGTACTTCTATTACTTCATATTTTAGAATATTATTTTTCTCTTAGGACTCTCTGTAGTCTTAATTAAACTCTGTTTTGTATCATTAAGGTGTGCCTAGGTTTCATGAATAGCCTGCATCTTACCTGTATTTCAGCTTTTTTAGTAATACTTCTTTTTATTTGCAGCTCAAGTCAGAGCACTTCCATAAAGCTGGACTGAGATCTCTACCATGTGAATTTCCTGAAACCAACTTGGCAGCAACAAAATTAATGACTTATTATCAAACCTTAATTGTATTTATTTTCCTTTCCCCCCCAAATTTTCCTGCCAAATAAAGGGACAACCATCATCACCCAATTTATAACAAATCCCATGCAAAGAACAATTCTCCATTTTGAAGCTCTCAACTCCTAATCTGGTATATTTACTCTATCACTATATAAAAGAAGTCAGATCTTTAAAAAACCCACCCTGCATTAAAATTATTTAGTTCTAGGCAGGTCATTGAAAGAATCCTGTACTCATTTATTAGTAAAAATTTTTCATTTATATGGATGCCCTCTGTCTTCAAATAGCAACATTAATGTATCAAAACAAATAAACTCACTTTCTTTTGCATCCTCCTAACCTTGTCTTGGCAGGATAATTTTCTGAGTAAGCATACCAAGTTTCTTTCAAGTCCACGATGATCATGCCAAGTAGGGCGTAATGAATCATTTCCCAGTGCATTTCTTACTAACAACATATAGTGGAAAAGGAGTTCTGTTATTCAGGGCTGGGTTAAGTAAATTTAAATGTATTATTCCTGTAGCTCTCCAAGAGGGAGGATTGTACTTAGTGTGAAAAGACATATTTGAATCATTTTGTTCACTATGCTTCTTTCATGGTTGTGTTCTGTGGGATACTGTTAGGAAATTACTGGTATAATGGAACTAGAAAATCTGAATGTTAGTCTCAGTTTGGACACGGTGACCTGGGTAAGTCTTAACTGGCTACACCTTGCTTTCTTCATCTCTAAAAAGGACTAAATTTGAATAATCTTAAAATCTTGTTCATTCCAGATCCTTTTCACTTTTATGATCACTTTTTGTGCCAGTGGACCTATTAAGCTTTTTACATGTATTACCATACATAATTCCCACAACCCTGTGAAGTAGGTGCTGCAATTCCTCTGGACCTATTTTGTGTCATACATTCAGCAGCTTTGACCAGTCAGTCCTGGGTGAGACTGGAGCATAGACAAGTCAAAATCTGGCTCACATTTGTAAAAGCAAATGAAAGTAGAGACCCCAAAGTTGCTCTTATGGATTTATTTTTATTTGATTTTTTAAACTTGTTATAAGAAATTTCAAACATAAGGAAATGAAGAGAATGATAAAACACCTGTCACCTCGATTTATTAGTTATACCCTTTGCTTAATCTATTTTTGGTAAGTTTAAAAATTTAAATTGCAGATATCATACATCTGCAAAAAGTGAGACACTCTGCTATATAACCACATCATCAACAAAACAGCACCTAAGATAGTTTAATGTCAATCATTATCCATGTCTTAATTAGGTCTCACAAGGCTGTTTATTATATATATATATGTAGATGATTCTCCCCTCTTTTTAATAATATTAATTTGTAAGAGTCAGGACCAATTTTACTTTAGAACATTTGATTTTTTTGAATGTGTGGTGATTGTTTTCTGTGGTATTCTTTGATTTGCTCCTTACTGTAGGTCTTGGTATTTCTTATGAATTGAAAGTTTAGGTGTTAAGATTTGATTAGATTTACTTTGAATAAATTGATTTGATGCCAAAGCACTTCATTGCAAGAAACCTTCATATACTAGTCAGATTCTCATTCCCTTAATGAAACTATTCAAGAAGACATTTTTGGGAAGGAAAAGGTTTGTTTTGTCTTAACATTTGGAGATTCACAGTTCAGGATCTAGTGGCCCTGAGGCTGATCTGTGGCAGAGAAGTTATATAGGACCATCAATGATGAACCAGGAAGCAGAGAGAGAAGCCAAGCAGAACTCAGCTCAAAGAATCAACCCTCTCATAAGGACCACCTGCTGAAAGCAAACCCCTCCCCCAAAAAGACCCAAAGACCTACCACTAGACCCTCCTCTCAGACACCATAGTTAGATCAAATCTCCACCCTTAATTCACCAACTCTTCATATTAAGACTTCAGAGTTTAATTACATGCATGAATTTTGGGGAGCCGATTTCTATTCAGTCTTAAACACTTAGCAATAAAGCTATGCTGTGTTTCTTATTGTATCACTCATAATCTGGGCATCTAATTATGAGTTGCCAGCATTGGTCACTGGTGTAAAGTGTCACCAACAAGTAATCTGCAGGCTCCACCTTAACATAGTGTCAATTCAGTTCTCTATCAACATTTAAAATTTTTTTTTTTTCATTTATTTGAAGCAAAGGGAGAGAGAGGAGAGAGAAGTTTTTCATCTGCCAGTTTACTCCCCAAATGACTGAAATGGCTAGAGGTGGGCCCTGGAGCTTCCTCTGGGTCTCCCATGTGGGTGCAAGGACCCAAGGAGTTGAGCCATCCTCCGCTGCTTTCCCAGGCATATTAACAGGAAGCTTGATCAGAATTTTATCTCACAGTTTAGCACTGATTGAAAATCTTGCCTGAGTTGTCACTTTATTGAGAGTTTCAAAGTAATCACATTTCATTTATTGCATGTTGTTTTTCATTCTTTTTTAAAATCTTTTTTAAGATTTTATTTACTTGAAAGAGTTACAGAGAGGCACAGGCAGAGAGAGAGAGAGGTCTTCCATCTGCTCGTTCACTCTCTAAATGGCCACAACAGCCGGAGCTGAGCCAATCCGAAGCCAGTAGCCAGGAACTTTTTCTGGGTCTCCCACGTGGGTGCAGGGGCCCAAGGTCTTGGGCCATCTTCCACTGCTTTCCCAAGCCATAGCAGAGAGCTGGATTGGAAGTGGAGCAGCTTGGACTTGAACCAATGCCTATATGGGATGCCGGCACTACAGGTGGCAGCTTTATCTGCTATGCCACGGTGCTGGCCCCATGGGTGTTGTTTTTCCTAATATCTTCAATTGCATAGTGAGTTCATTATTCTTCACACTGTCACTGCTTTCTAATATAGAATTTAATGCTATAAAATTACAATCCAAAATTAAAAACATTTTGTTATATAATTTTTGACAATTATCATTAAACCGAAATATTCTCATACTTTTCTTCTTTAACTTTAAGCATTATTTACAAATAGTGTTTTAATTCTTCATATAGCCTTAGATTTCTCTATTTTTAATTTCTATTTTAATTATTATTTACAAGACACAGGTTTTATGATCCTGGTTCTTTGATACTTGATGACACTTGATTTTGGACTTAGTTCATGGCCAAATTTTGTAAATTTGATACATGATTGAAAATATCTGCTCTCTGATTAACTTGGTATAGTCTCTGTGTATTATTAACAAATTAATATGTAAATTCATTGTTTTATCCACCCACAGCCTGAAACATCTTTAAAAGCCAAAAGTTAAATAATTTAGAGAGGGGAATGTTAAATCTCCCACTGTTAAGGTAGGTTTCTCAGTATTTTCTCTTGTGTCAAGCATTGCTTTAAATGTTGCTATGATATGTATTAGGTATTTCTGTATTGAAAATTGTTATATCTGTCTGACAAATTATTCTTTTTATTAGGAAGGTAATATGAGAATAAATGGTGATAGTATTCTTGTGCCATCCCTAAATTAATCTTCATATTTATTATATTTTGGTTATTGTGTTTTTGAAGTTAAGGGTTTTACACTTACTCATAGTTACCACTTTCCTTGTTTATCTCTTTTTTGGATGTAATTTCCTACTTCCTAAAGCATAACTTTTTAATTCTCTTAATGAAGCACTCTTTTAGGGCCACTAGATATTTGTTCAAAATGTGGGTAGGCATTCAGTGCAGGGTTAAGATACTGCTTGGGATGCCTGCCTCCCATATCAGAGTGCCTGGGTTTGAATTCTTGCTCTGTTCTCAATTCTAGTTTCCTGTTAATTTGAACCCTGGGAAGCAACAGGAGAAGGCTTGAGTACTTGGGTCCTTTCCACCTTGTGGCAGACCCAGCCAGAGTTCTTGCCTCTTGGCTTCTGCCTGGCCCAACCCCAGCTATTGTGGGCATTTGGAGAGTGAACCAGTAAATGGAAAATCAATCCCTCCCTCTCTCTCCCTGCCTTTCAAACAAAATGAAAATAAATAAATTTACATGTACTTATTTTGTCATTATTCATAATTGACAGTATATCTGGGATAAATTCCAAACACTAAGTTCTTACTAGCTGTGTAACTTTAAGCTTGCTACTTTACCTCACTATTCCTCTTTCATTAATTTGGGAAAATTTCATCCATTTCAATTATAATATTTTCTATCAAGCATTCTACTTGTTCATTTTTGGAAACCTAAATAGACATATGTTGGGCTTAGACAATTTTGTCTTGAATGTCTCAACTTCTCTTTTATATTTTCCTTTTTTCCCTCTCTATCTGCAAAACCATGTCAGAGACAAAGTCAGTTCTCTGTAGGTCTAACATATTTGTTTTTAGCCAACCCATTTTTCTAAATTTCTTTTTTTTTTTTTTTTGGACAGGCAGAGTGCACAGTGAGAGAGAGAGAGAGACAGAGAGAAAGGTCTTCCTTTGCCGTTGGTTCACCCTCCAATGGCTGCCACGGCCGGCGTGCACCACGCTGATCCGAAGGCAGGAGCCAGGTGCTTCTCCTGGTCTCCCATGGGGTGCAGGGCCCAAGGACTTGGGCTATCCTCCACTGCACTCCCAGGCCACAGCAGAGAGCTGGCCTGGAAGGGGGATAACTCGGACAGAATCCAGCGCCCCGACTGGGACTAGAACCCGGTGTGCCGGAGCCGCAAGGCAGAGGATTAGCCTATTGAGCCGCGGCACCGGCAATATTTTTCTAAATTTCAAAGATTGTATTTGTATTCATGCAAGTTCCATTTAATTGTTTCCAAACTACCAGTTCATTTATGATAGTTTTTTTTTTTTAAGAATTATTTTATTTATTTGAAGGACAGAGTTACAGAGAGAGTTGGAGACAGAGAGAGAGGTCTTCCATCCGCTGGTTCACACCCCAATTGGCTACAACGGCCGGAGCTGCACCTATCCGGAGCTAGGAGCCAGGAGCTTCTTCCGGGTCTCCCATGTGGGTGTAGGGGCCCAAGGACTTGGCTATCTTCCACTGCTTCCTCAGGCCACAGCAGAGAGCTGCATGGGAAGAGGAGCAGCCGCGACTAGAACTGGCGCTCATGGGATGCCAGAGCTTCAGGCCAGGGTTTTAACCCACTGCGCCACAGTGCCGGCCCCTGTGATAGTGTTTTGAAACTGTTAGTTTCATGATTTTTGAGCTCTGCACTCATATTTGTGGAGCTTTTTAGTGAGAATCCAGTATGACTATATGGTCTAAAATGAATATTGGCCAGCACCATGGCTCACTAGGCTAATCCTCTGCCTGCGGCCCCGGCACACCGGGTTCTAGTCCCAGTGGGGGAACCGGATTCTGTCCTGGTTGCCCCTCTTCCAGGCCAGCTCTCTGCTGTGGCCAGGGAGTGCAGTGGAGGATGGCCCAAGTGCTTGGGCCCTGCACCCCATGGGAGACCAGGAGAAGCACCTGGCTCCTGCCATCGGATCAGCGCGGTGCGCTGGCTGCAGCGCGCTGGGCACAGCGGCCATTGGAGGATGAACCAACGGCAAAGGAAGACCTTTCTCTCTGTCTCTCTCTCTCACTGTCCATTCTGCCTGTCAAAAAATAAAAAAATAAATAAAATAAAATGAATATCAGCTCCTCAAAGAGGTTTTGAATTTCTCATGGAGTTATGCAGTGAAGCTGCCATAGACCAATTTGTGTTGGATTCTCAGCTGAAACATTCCTGGACCAGAGAGATAGTGAAATGAAGAACTTCAACCTGTGTAAGAAAGAATTCATCATCACACATTCATTAGCCTGACATCATTTATCCATCTAGATTCCAGATCAAGACAGATGAGCTTCCTTGTTATTTGCCTAAATTGATGTGCACATATTTTTTCTATCCCACACTTTCACTGAGGGTCTAGTCATTTAAATAGCTCAGTTTCAATTAGTGACCTCAAGTTACTATTTTTTTGATTTGAGCCTTTAAAAACCAGAGAACTTGGGAACTACTAACACATATATACTTTTTTCAGACAGCTGAAGAATATCCAGTTCATTGGGTTATTATTATTAATTTTTCTTTTGAAGGTTTTTTTTTTTTTATTTTTTTTTATTTTTGACAGGCAGAGTGGACAGTGAGAGAGAGAGACAGAGAGAGAAAGGTCTTCCTTTGCCGCTGGTTCACCCTCCAATGGCCGCCGCTGCAGCCGGCGCACCGCGCTGATCCTGGCAGGAGCCAGGAGCCAGGTGCTTTTCCTGGTCTCCCATGGGGTGCAGGGCCCAAGCACCTGGGCCATCCTCCACTGCACTCCCTGGCCATAGCAGAGAGCTGGCCTGGAAGAGGGGCAACCGGGACAGAATCCGGCGCCCCAACCGGGACTAGAACCCGGTGTGCCGGCGCCGCAAGGTGGAGGATTAGCCTATTGAGCCACGGCGCCGGCTTCTTTTGAAGGTTTTACCTGGAGGAATGTTCCTTGCTTCCTCACAAGTAGAAGTATTCATTTGAGGGTATATCTGCCATGTTATAAAAGCTGTTTTTAAATGTGTCTACTGTTATTTATCCAGTCTGGTATTTTTCCAAAAAATAAAGCTTAAGTCTCCCAAAATATATTCTACAGAACACTAATGTTCAGTCCAATGTGACTGCATATTGTATGAAAAAGTCTATGTTAACAATATTTTCTTCTAAAATATACACTTAATTATATTTAAGAAACTAATCTTAATTACATATTTTTCTAGGTTCATGCAATGATTAGGTTTTAGATAAAAGCTGAGTCATTGTACAGAATGCCAGAATGAAGGAAGGAATTGATGTGATCAAATCTAATATCATAGAGGCTTCTCACTGATTTGTCATCAATTGTCAATGACATGTTCTATTCCTCGATTTATAATTCCAAACAATATTTGATATTGTAATATCATTTTAGGATTTCAGTTCCGCCACTCAATCAACAGGTGGTGCCATTGTATTACAGTTTGAATTTGTGAAAGACAACAAAATATTTTGTTGTAGTTGTACCTACATATACATCATTTTTTAAATAGGCTTCTGTCACCACTTTTGTACCCTGAGAAAATTTGGTTTTGATGCATTAAAAAATTGATATGAGGGTCTGGCATTATGGTACAGCAGATTAAGTTGCTGCTTGTGTTACAGGCCCCTTCCACTCATGTGGGAGACCCAGATGGAGTTTCCAGCTCCTGGCTTCAGCCTGGCCCACTCCTGACTGTTATGGCTATTTCGGGAGTGAACCAGCCAATAAGCAACCTCTCTCTGTCTAACATCCTGCCTGTCAAATAAATAAATAAATATTACAAATTGATATGGTTAAGATTATGTTACAATACAAAGTGGGTTGGATTCTTCTCACATATAATTTTAGAAATTGCAGGGCATAAGTGTGCTATTTTGTCTACAAAGAAATTAACCAAAGATAAATTTTATAATATGTGGCTTTATGAGTATATTCATATATCCAGAGGATAGGTGTGCTAAACTTTTTGATCATGACAATTCTCATTTTGTTTTTATGTTAGAAAATTTAAAATACTATGTGTTAATAAAAATCTCTGCTTTTTAAAAAAAGCTGCTTTGTTTTTCTCCATTAAACTTTTAATTTTTTTTTTAAGATTTATTTATTTAACAGGTAGGAGGGACAGAACAAATGGCCAGAACAGCAAAGGATGGGCAAGGCTGAAGCCAGGAGCCAGGAATTTCAACTGGGTCTCCCACCTGGATAACAAGAACTCAAGTACTCAAGCCATCATCCACTGCTTCCTAGTTGCATAAATGGGTATTGGGATGGAAGCTGAGTAGCTGGGACCCCAGTTGGCACTCTAGGGAGGGATGTGGGCATCCCAGGTAGCAGCTTAACCTGCTGTGCCACAATGCCCACCCCTCAGCATGCATTTTATCCTAACAAAAGCATGGCACTACCCAATGCCTGTTCATGATTGTTCCTTTACAGATGCTATTAAATGTAATGTTGGTCACAGTTGTGCTGAGAGATCACTTTGATGTTACAACAGTCATGCAGAGACAGCTTGGAGTGGGTAACTATATGCCCTGCTCTGAACAGGACCAAGAGAGAACGACACCAGGCTTTATCGCATTCCTAATTCTGCCTGTGATTCACTGTGTAAACTGACAGTGCTGCTTCCTCAGGGTGGTTGTCAAAGTCACAGCACGATCACAGGAGGTGTTCATAAGACGTTGGCACAAGTCACTGACAGATTAGCTGGAAGCTTGTTGTGATTCTCCTCAGGGATTTCAGGAATAGCTAACTCTTCAAGCTAATTAGTCCTGCGTGGTTGAGATGGATGATCTGGAAAAAAAAAAGGCAATTGAAAATGATACAGTTATTTAGCAATACAAAAGTGTAAATAATAGAAAAATCAAGAAATGAAGCAAACACATTTAGAAACATTTGGATCAACTAGATGAATAGGTCAGCAGATGGAAAATTCAATTTCAAAGTAGACAAAGAAAAGTATAATGTGTTTGGGAGCAGAAATCCAAGTTAGTTAATGTTAAACAATGCAATTGTCAATACAATAAACATTCTATTTTCTAATAAATGGAGATATTGTTAAAGTCTTTTTAGTGTAAGTCTGAATATGTAGCTCTCATTTAATAGCATATTTCTATGGTTCACAGATACTTTGAAAAATCTCTCCTCAGCTTTATTCTCATTCATTATTTCTATATAATTCTATAACAATTCTCATTTCACAGTTAATATAAAATTTCAATAATTACACTGCAATTAAAAATGGGAGCTTAGACTACAAGCCAGACCTCTTTAAGTGTTCTTTTTTTTTTTTTATTTTACACCAATGGGGACTGAACAGATTGAATTTTAACTAATACTATTATATTTCTCTGTAGGAGAGCAAGTAAATAAGTTTAGAGGACAAAGGTGGTATATAGAATAGTACCAGTGTTATTTTTACTAAATTGTGGTAATAGATTTATGTACACTATCCTTTGCAAGAATGTCCTTCCATTTTTGTTGGGGTTAATATTGGGCAGACAGAATCTCTTTAACTTTCATATCTGGCATTTTCCCTTAATTAGATTGATAAGTAAGGAGAGGGAAATATACTTTTGTCTGACATAAAAAAGAATGAGAGAAAATCCAAAACTTATTTTGTTAATATTCAATTCCCATCTGCCTTATACCCTTTGAAACTTTGTTTCCAATTCCTCAGCCATTCTGTGAGAAACTGTATACATTTACACTTTAGCCTTTATTTCAGGAAAGTGATTTTCTTAATGAGGATGAATTTTTATTTTCTTTTTAAAAATATTTATTTATTTTATTTGCAGGGCAGAATTATAGAGAGGAGGAGAAACAAAGACCTTCCATTTAATGGTTCACTCCCTAAATAACCATAAAACCAGGAACCTGGAATTTCATCCATGTCTCCCATATGGATAACAGGGGCTCAAGTACTTGGTTCCATCTTCTGCTGTTTTCCCAGGTACATTAGCAGGGAGCTGGATTGGAAGTAGAACTGTCAGGATTAAACCGGTGTCCATTTAGGATGCTGGAATCACAGGCAGTGGCTTAACCTGCTGCGCCACAACCTGGGTGGCAGGGTCCCAATTAAAAAAATTTTTTTTCTTTAACACTTTATATTTCTTGATAATAGAAAGCATATTTGTTGGTCGGTGCCGCGGCTCACTTGGCTAATCCTCCGCCTGCGGCGCCAGCACCCCGGGGTTCTAGTCCCGGTTGGGGCACCGGATTCTGTCCCGGTTGCCCCTCTTCCAGGCCAGCTCTCTGCTGTGGCCCAGGAAGGCAGTGGAGGATGGCCCAAGTGCTTGGGCCCTGCACCCGCATGGGAGACCAGAAGGAAGCACCTGGCTCCTGTCTTTGGATTGGCACAGCGTGCTGGCTGAAGGAAGGCCTTTTTCTCTCTTCTCTCTCTGTCTCTCTCTCACTAACTCTGCCTATCAAAAAAAAAAAAAAAAAAGCATATTTATTTATCCAATGAGTAAAAAGTGGCTAATTTTTTCACAAAAATATGCAAAGTGCTTATGTGTGTTATATATTACATATACTAATTGGAATGTATGTAATTTAGCAACTCATAGAGTTTTTGTTGTTGTTGTTGAAGAAAACTGAGTTGCAGGGATGACAATTTACTTCCAATGGAAAATAAGAAATAGTAAATCTGAGGACATCATCCATTTCCATAGTACAATGCAAGAATAAATGCCATTTATTTTTTTTAAAGATTTATTTATTTATTTGAAAGGTAGAGTTACAGAGAGGCAGAGAGAGAGAGAGAGAGAGAGAGAGAGAGAGAGGTTTTCCATCCACTGGTTCACTCCCCAATTGGCCACAATGGCTGGAGCTATGCCGATCCGAAGCCAGGAGCCAGGAGCCAGGAGCCAGGAGCTTTTTCCAGGTTTCCCACATAGCTGCAGGGGCCCAAGGACTTGGGCCATCTTCTACTGCTTTCCCAGGCCATAGCAGAGAGCTCCATCAGAAGTGGAGTAGCTGGAACTTGAACCGGTACCCATACAGAATACTGGCACTGCAGGCAGTGGCTTCACCCACTATGCCACAGCACCAATAAATGCCATTTATTAAAGGAAAATTATATCATTTCAGTGCTGGAGTGTATCCACTTGAATAATTCTTTCAGAATATAAATTCAACCAGTGCACAAAATGGTGGCAGGGAAGGTAAACAGAAAATGGAGAATCAAAATAAAGATAATGGGAGAGAATAAGCTCTACATATGGCAGGAAATTATTTTTTATTGGCTCACTGCATATAAGATAGTATGTGGGTAATAGTAGGACTCATACTTATTGAAAACTTACTTGAATTTTGAAAGCCATTGAATAATTGGTGATTGCATCAATAAGGACACTTTCATCTCTGATTCACAAAAAAGTTAGCTTGAAATGATTTAGGCCATTAATGAAAATGGTCACGTAACTTGAAGTCCAGGAGTAGGGTGAAGATCAGGATTGGCTGATTTGGTGGCTCAACAATGTCAACAAGGACAGTTTTTTTGAGATTTATTTATTTTAAAGTCAGAGTTTCAGAGAAAGGGGCAGAGACAGATGGATCTTCCATCTGCTGGATCACTACCCAGATGGCTGACATGTATTCTAACTATCCCTCTGCTCTTATGTATGTGCACATAGCACATGCCTCAGGTTGTTCTTACCATAGTTTTAGGAGCATTGCTGCTTCCACGCTCAAACCCAGTGCAATAAAAAGAACATCTCCCCTTAACCTTTAAACAAATATTCTCCCTCTTAATTTGGACAATTTAGTTTATGTTTCCAAAATTTGTATTTATTCATTTATTTAATTTGAAAGGGATGGGGGAGAGGGTGGAAATCTTTCATCTGCTTCTTGTTCATTCCCCAAATGATTGTGACAATCAGGGCTTGGCCAGTCTGAAGCCAGGAGCTAGGAACTCAGTCAGGATCTGGGTCTCCTACATGGATGCCAGGGTCCCAAGCACTTGGGCCATCATACCTTCTCAAGTGCATTAGCAGGAAGCTGTATGGGAAGAGGAACAACTGGGTTTTTAACCGGAATTCTGATATGGGATGCTGTGTCTCAAGTGGCAGATTAACCCACTCTGCCACAACATGGGCCCCAATAAACTCTTCTTTTTAAAATAACAGTATATATTCTCTTGTACAGTGCCTTAGGACATTTGTAATAATACATGGAATATTAGGCTATGATTGGATTTCTCAGTAAATGTAAATTGTAAAGGACACATTCTTGAATCACAAAATATACAAAATGACATTTTTATAATTTCTGGCCAAAGTAAAAATTCAAACTTTATGAAATATTAGAGTTTTGGTCTTGGTGTCTATTGCTAAACATAAGTCATAAACATAAATGAACTAAATTTACCATTCAAAAAGATTTAATAAAAGAAATACTGAAATGTTTGGGAAAATCAGAAAACAATGAATTAAAAGCAATAAATAGAAAAGTTATTTGAAAAATGTTTACTTATTTATTTGAGAGGCAGAGAGACAGCAAGGGAGACAGAGAGCTCCTGTACATTGATTTAACTGGTTCACTCCCCAAATACCCACCAACAGCTGGAATAGGGCCAGGCCAAAGCCAGGGTCTGGGGAATCAATCAAGGTCTCCCTTGTAGGTGACAGGGACCCAACTACTTGAGCCATCACCTGTTGCCTCCTACAGTGTGCATTAGCAGGAAGGTAGACTCAGGAACATAGTTGGGATCTGAACCCAGGCACTCCAGGGTGGGATACAGGCATTTCAAGGCCATCTTAACTGCTATTCCAAACACCTGCCCCCATGAGGAATTCCTAAATATAACTTCAAGGCAGAAATGTAGGAAATCAAGATTGCTAAATGACAAATTCAGAAAAAAGTTAAAACATTCATAAAACCACCATACAGGAAATAAAACATAAAAAAAAACAGGGAGAAATAAAGGATTAAGTTTTTTTTTTTTGGACTAAGTTTTAATATTTATAAGGTATTTTATGACTCAAAGAGGAAAAACTACATATACACCCACCCTTTTTTTGGTCTTAGTTCTACATTTGTGGTGTTTTTAGAAACCTTTTATTTAATAAATATGAATTTTGAAAGTACCACTTTTGGATTACAGTGGTTCCCCCCCCCCCATAACCACCCTCCTACCTGCAAACCATCCCATCTCCCATTCCCTCTCCCAACCCATTCTTCACTAAGATTCATTTTTAATTATCTTTATATACAGAAGATCAACTTAGTATATACTAAGTAAAGATTTCAACAGATTGCACCACACAGACGCACAAAGTACTGTTTGAATACTAGTTTTACCATTAATTTGCATAGTATAACACATTAAGGACAGAGATCCTACATGGGGAGTAAGTGCACAGTGACTCCTGTTGTTGATTTAACAACTGACACTCTTACTTATGATGTCAGTAATCACCCGGGGTTCTTGTCATGAGTTGCCAAGGCTATGAAGCCTCTTGAGTTCATAAACTCTGACCTTATTTAGAGAAGGCCATAATCAAAGTGGAAGTTCTCTCCTCCCTTTAGAGAAAGGTACCTCCTCCTTTGATGGCCCGTTCTTTCCACTGGGATATCACTCACAGAGATCTTTCATTTGGGTCATTCTTTGCCACAGTGTCTTGGCTTTCCAAGCCTGAGAGACTCTCATGGGCTTTTTAGCCAGATCCAAATGCCTTAAGGGCTGATTCTGAGGCCAGAGTGCTGTTTAGGGCATCTGCCATTCTGTGAGTCTGCTGTGTATCCTGCTTCCCATGTTGGGTCATTCTCTCCTTTTTAATTCTATCAATTATTATTAGCAGACACTGGTCTTATTTATGTGATCCCTTTGCCACTTAATCCTATCTTTAACTACATACCCTTATAAAAATGAATTAAGAATGTAAATGAGGGGGCTGGCACTGTGGCATAGCAGGTTAAGCCACTGTCTGTAGTGCTGGCAGCCCATATGGTTGCCGGTTCAAGTCCCAGCTACTCCACTTCCAATTCAGCTCTCTGCTACAGCCTGGGAAAGCAATGGAAGATGGGCCAAGTCCTTGGGACCCTACACCCACATGAGAGACCTCATGAAAGTTCTAGGCTCCTGGCTTCGGATCCAACCAGCTCTGGCTGTTGCAGCTATGTGGGGAGTGAACCAGCAAATGGAAGACCTCTCTCTGTCTCTCTCTGCCTGCCTGTAACTCTGCCTTTCAAATAAATAAATAAATAAAAATAAAAAAAATTTTAAAAAAGAATATAAATGAGTAATTAACTAACAAATAAATCAAATGACCCACATGGGTACTGTGCTAGTAATCAAAGGGCTGCACCTGAAAACAGTATACTTCTCTTCCCTCGAATGAATTTTTAAATATTTATAGCTATTTTTGAGGAATTGTTACATATTTTCTGGAAAATTTGTCTACATGTCTTACAAGTTTTAAAAGAAGTACCTATTTTTTGATCTAGATTCGTGTGCCTCTATAAATTTATTCTAAGGAAATGATCAAATAAGTGCAGATATATGTGCCAAGACCATTTATGAGAGTTAAAAAGTGTACAAAAATAGGAATTTGTTAAATAAATAATGAGACATTCATAATGGAAATACTGTAGAAGTAAAGCTATATTAATTAACATAAAATATTCCAAAGGAGGAAAAGTCAGGTTACCTGCAAATGAAGGAAGCCAACTTGACTAGCCAATTTTTTTTAAATGGAATTATTATAAAATTGACGAGATCACTTAAGGATCCCAAGGCTACTCCTTGGGAGAAGCATCTCAAGGGAAGGCTAAGCCATTCAATGAAAAGTTGCCAGCATTCTTCATTTTTCACCTCTGTCTACCTGACTGTTTAATTCCATGATACATGTGGTAGATTATTTCTAAGCTAGAACTCCTAGCTTTGTGATTTACAGCTCATCTATATCTAGAAACTGCTTGGCATTTTGTAAATTACACTTTAAATTCCTAGAGATTTGAGATGAGAATATATGAATGCTGTTTGTGATGTATGATCAGAGGAATAGAATTGTGCCATTATGCATGTGGCTGTCAGGGATCCACTGGGTTTGGGAGTTTGATGCTGCTACTAGGAGAAGGAGAATGACTAAGGTTGAGCAGAAATCCCATAGGTTTATAAAAATAAATGAACATATTTAGATATAAAGCTGAATCACCTGTTTGTCTTCATTAAAACAATTAGAAGTGTGATATCCTCCAAATGGGAATGAAACAATCATTTTGGGGTATGATTGCTGTTAGCCTTTGTTCATACTCCTGTGGAACTGTGGTCTCCCTACTTTTTACTTTTTGAATATTATGATTAGTGGCAAATTAAGCCTGTGAATATAGAGTGGATTAATATTATGGCTTTGCAAAACACTGATGAAGAGAAGGGAAGGAGAGAGGAGGATCTGGAGGGAGCAGGGGAGTGAGGGAAGTGTTGCTGTCTTCTTGGAACTGTACCTATGGAAGGCACAAAATCTGTTCTCTTTATAGTAATTAAAAAAGAAAAGCAACTTAAATCTTTATTGTGGCATATTCAGTATACATTTCTTAAACTTTCTTCTTTTTCTCAATCTTTGAATCAATCTCTCTCTCTCCCTTCTCTCTCCCTTTCTGTTTCTCAACAGATGCACACACACACAACACACACACATTCTATTTAAAGCTTAATCCTTAAACCTTAGTCCTCCCTCCAGATTACCTAAATTCTCTCTAATATTCACAAGACTGATCTTTTCTCTTTTTTTTTTCATTTTACATAGTATTTTCTTGTCTTTCAATGCTCTTTCCCTGTGCATATCATTCAAGCCATGTTTGCTCTCTTGTATCTCTCATCACCTATAACCTCATTCTGCATAGAAAACAACCAGGGGACTCTACAAACAGATATAATGTCCTTCTGTGGCAGCACAGGCTTAAGGATGTTATGTTTTCTCCCCTGCCACATGTATGGGAGAATGGTTAAAAGATCTAACATGAAATACTAATACTGTTTATCACCAGAAAGTGAGATTATGTGTGCTTATTTCTTTAGTTGTTTAAATGATAAAGATGCATTAGTTATGAAATAGACATATGATACATAAAACAAACAGATCTTGCTCCAATGATTCTCATTATTGTTCACAACATATTTATATTTAATTGACATTTTATACCGAGCAGATCAAAGCCTCCACTTTATATACATATGTAGTATGTATACATATGTAGTGGTTTAATAAATATTTATTTTAAAAATGAACAAGCAAATACAAAAAGACATAAAAGTTAATTCCATAGTATACACGGAAACCAAAACAGAAAAATCTATATAATGATGTAACCAATGCTATTTTTTTTCAAATCACACAAAAAAATCCTTTATTCTGCAGGAGATGGACAAGAGCTTAATAAAATTATATAAATGTTTTGTTATATAATGTGCTATTCTGTACATGGTACTATATATACATATATAAATACCATACAAGTACTATATATACTGTAGTATATGGTATACACACACACACACACACACACATATAATGATTATAATGTACTGGATTAGAAGCTATATGTTTACTGAGGAATTTTATTGTTGCTTGTTCAAAACCAATTTTCTTATTTTTTTTTAAGATTTTTTTTTATTCTATTTATTTGAGAGGTAGAGCCACAGACAGTGAGAGGGAGAGACAGAGAGAAAGGTCTTCCTTCTGTTGGTTCACTACCCAAATGGCCGCAACAGCCCAAAGCCAGGAGCCAGGTGCCTCCTCCTGGTCTCCCATGCAGGTGTGTGGGGCCATCTTCTACTGCTTTCCCAGGCCACAGCAGAGAGCCGGATGGGAAGAGGAGCAGCCGGGACTGGAACCGGCGCCCATATGGGATGTTGGCACTGTAGGCAGAGGATTAACCCACTGCACCACAGCACCGGGCCTCTTACATTGTTTTAGGCTTTGAGGGACTCTGAAGGACTTGAGCCTTGCATATCTTCGTTTCTGGCAGCTGCTCCCTGCCGCTGATTACACTTGACTTTATCCAGTAAGTATTCCTTTCTACTCTCCTTGGTAAAACCAACTTGCCCAAACAATGGCTGCTAAAATGCAAGAATAATTTGTTGGCTCCTGACACTGATTGATTTCAGTGATGCCCTTCTGCTCCAACCTCAGAAGAAACCTCACCCTCCTTTCCCAGCATGGTCATCCCAGGAGAATCTTCTCCTGCCAGGTACTGCTGAGTAAAGGATTAGGCTGCCAGAGCTCTGGTAGATTTTTGCCCAAAATATGAATAATAATAACTATTAAGGGAATAAAGTTAAATAGGACACGATCAAAAATTTCAATGATAAAATTCTGATTTCAAGGGCTGGGTGTTATAAGAGTAGACTGTGGTTCATGGTAGGAGTTATGTTGTTTTTTGCAGTATGTTTATACCCTACACAAAATGTAAGATTAGGTGCTCAGTATCAAGGAAATAATTCACAAACCTGCTCTCGAAGCTCTGGGTAGCAAGAGTAGAAGCCACGTGACAGGCGGCAGAACTTCAGATGTTCTAGCTTGTATGAATGTTTGTGAGTTCGGATTCATTAGTTGATATACTAAATGAATATTTTCCTTTATTTATTTATTTATTTTTTGACAGGCAGAGTGGACAGTGAGAGAGAGAGAGACAAAGAGAAAGGTCTTCCTTTTTCCGTTGTTTACCCCTCAATGGCGGCTGCAGCTGGCGCGCTGCGGCCGGTGCACCGCGCTGACTGAATTCCAGAGCCAGGTGGTTCTCCTGGTCTCCCATGCAGGTGCAGGGCCCAAGGACTTGGGCCATCCTCCACTGCATTCCCTGGCCACAGCAGAGAGCTGGCCTGGAAGAGGGGCAACTGGGACAGAATCCGGCGCCCCGACCGGGACTAGAACCTGGGGTGCTGGCACCGCAGGTGGAGGATTAGCCTATTGAGCCACGGCGCCGGCCTAAATGAATATTATCCTTGAACATTATTTCATTCCCCCAAATTCTAGCAACCATGTATTTATTAATTCTCTAAAATATCCAATGTGATGAAATGAAGATTTAAGTATTATATTTTTGTGAAAAGTTATCTTACAACTTTGTTATATAATGCAAGGAGAAGTCAGATTTTTGGGGAATTGCACAGTGGTCCAAGCTCATAGGAATTTGCCTGGGGCCAGCATTGTGGAGTAGCAGGTGAGGCCGCTGCCTGCAGTGCTGGCATCCCATGTGGGTGCTGGTTTGAGTTCTGGCTGCTCCACTTCCCACCCAGCTCCCTGCTAATGTGCCTGGGAGGGCAGCAAAGGATGGCCCAAATCCTTGGGCCCCTGCACACATGCGGGAGACCCAAAAGAAGCTCCTGGCTTCAGATCAACCCAGATCCAGCCGTTGTGGCCATATGGGGGAATGAACAACTGGATCAAAGACCTTTCTGTCTCTGCCTCTCTACAACTCTGCCTTTCAAATAAATAAATAAATAAATCTTAACCAAAAAAAAAAAAGAAAGAAAGAAAGAAAGAAAGTTTCCTAACTTGCTTTGTGGGTTCCAACTGGCTGGCACTTACTCTTGAAATGGGACAGAGAATCCCTTAAATTGTTAACTTTTTTTTTTAACTTTTATTTAGTAGATATAAATTTCCAAAGTACAGCTTATGGATTACAATGGCTTCCCCCCCGCCCCATAACTTCCCTCCCACCTGCAACCCTCCCTCTCCCGCTCCCTCTCCCATTCCATACACATTAAGATTCATTTTTGATTATCTTTATATACAGAAGATCAATTTAGCATATATTAAGTGAAGATTTCATCAGTTTGCCCCCACACAGAACACAAACTGCCAAATACTGTTTGAGTACTAGTCATATCATTAATTCACATTGAACTATACATTAAGGACAGAGATCCTACATGGGGAGTAAGTGCACAGTGACTCCTGTTGTTGACTTAACAAATTGACACTCTTGTTTAAGGCGTCAGTAATCTCCCCAGGCTCTAGTCATGAGTTGCCAAGGCCATGGAAGCCCCCTGAGCTTGCTGACTTTGATCTTATTTCGACAAGGCCATAGTCAAAGCGGAAGTTCTCTCCTCCCTTCAAAGAAAGGTACCTCCTTCTTTGATGGCCCATTCTTTTTTTTTTTTTTAACTTTTATTTAATAAATATAAATTTACAAAGTACAGCTTATGGATTACAATGGCTTCCCCCCTCCATAACTTCCCTCCCACCTGCAACCCTCCCCTTTCCCTCTCCCTCCCCCCTTCCATTCACATCAAGATTCATTTACGTTTCTCTTTATATACAGAAGATCAATTTAGCATATATATATATATTTTTTTTTTTTGACAGGCAGAGTGGACAGTGAGAAAGAGAGAGACAGAGAGAAAGGACTTCCTTTTGCCATTCGTTCACCCTCCAATGGGTGCCGCGGCCGGCAGGCTACGGCTGGCGCACCGCGCTGATCCAATGGCAGGAGCCAGGTACTTATCCTGGTCTCCCATGGGGTGCAGGGCCCAAGCACTTGGGCCATCCTCCATTGTACTCTCTGGCCACAGCAGAGAGCTGGCCTGGAAGAGGGGCAACCGGGACAGAATCCGGCACCCCGACTGGGACTGGAACCCAGTGTGCCGGCGCTGCAAGCTGGAGGATTAGCCTAGTGAGCCACGGCGCCGGCCAGTTTAGCATATATTAAGTAAAGATTTCAACAGTTTGCACCCACATAGAAACACAAAGTGAAAAATACTGTTTGAGTACTAGTTATAGCATTAAATCACAATGTACAGCACATTAAGGACAGAGATTCTTCATGAGGAGTAAGTGCACAGTGACTCCTGTTGTTGACTTAACAAATTGACACTCTTGTTTATGGCATCAGTAATCACCCTAGGCTCTTGTCATGAGTCGCCAAGGCTATGGAAGCCTTTTGCGTTCACCGACTCTGATCATATTTAGACAAGGTCATAGTCAAAGTGGAAGTTCTCTCCTCCCTTCAGAGAAAGGTACCTCCTTCTTTGATGACCTGTTCTTTTCATTGGGATCTCCCTTGTGGAGATCTTTCATGTAGGTTTGTTTTTTTTTTTTTTTTTTTTGCCAGAGTGTTGCAGTTGATTTCTCAACAATGTTGCAGTGGATTCATTTCTGAGAGGAGGCGTGTGGTGGGGGCAAGAGGTGCGGAGTCACCACACAGACTCCGGGAGTTGGGTAAAAGCAGGCCTGAGGCGAGCAGCCCGCAGACTCGTTTATGTCAGTTGGTACAACATCTTATATAGCCAAGACTAGCCAATCTGCTCAAGGGGCGGTCTATGCCCCAACCAATCACAGCCTGTTGCCAGGCAGTTTCCAAAGCCATCCAATCACAGCATGTTGCCAGGCAGTTTCAAATCCATTTAATCACAGCCTGTTGCCAGGCAGTTTCAAATCCATCCAATCACAGCCTGTTACCAGGCAGGCTTTGTTGCCAGGTGGGTTTCAAAGCCATTCCTGAGTAACTGACGCTCGCTTGTCAGTGGCCACCTTGGCATGGCCTTCTCATTCCACCACACCAGAGTGTCTTGGCTTTCCATGCCTAAAATACTCTCATGGGCTCTTCAGCCAGATCTGAATGCCTTAAGGGCTGATTCTGAGGCCAGAGTGCTGTTTAGGACATCTGTCATTCTATGAGTCTGCTGTGTATTCTGGTTCCCATGTTGGATCGTTCTCTCCCTTTTTTATTCTATCAATTAGTATTAGCAGACACTAGTCTTGTTTATGTGATTCCTTTGACTCTTAGACCTATCATTATGGTCTATTGTGACCTGAAATTGATCACTTTGACAAGTGAGTTGGCATTGGTACATGCAACCTTAATGGGATTGTATTGGAATCCCCTGGCACATTTCTAACTCCACCACTTGGGGAAAGTCAGCTTGAGCATGTCCCAAATTGTACATCTCCTCCTTCTCTTATTCCCACTCTTATATTTAACAGAGATCACTTTTCCATTAACTTTAAACACCTAAGAATAATTTTGTGTTACTTACATAGCTCAACCAATGGTATCAAGTAGAACAAACAAAAATACTAAAAGGGATATAGTATTAAATTGTACATCAACAGTGATGATAAGGGCTGATCAAGTCATTGTTTCTCATAGTGTCCATTTCACTTCACCAGGTTTCCTTTTTGATGCTTGGTTAGTTGTCACCAATCAGGGAGAACATATGATATTTGTCCCTCTAGGACTGGCTTATTTCACTCAGCATGATGTTTTCCAGGTTCCTCCATTTTTTTTTGCAAATGACTGGATTTCATTGTTTATTACTGCTGTATAGTATAATTTGATTTCCACGTGCAGAAGCATGAAGCAAGACCCCTACCTTTCACCTTACACAAAAATCCACTCAACATGGATTAAAGACCTAAATCTATGACCTGACAGTATCAAATTATTAGAGAAACCCTGCAAGATATAGGCACAAGCAAAGACTTCTTTGAAAAGACCCTGGAAGCACAGGCAGTCAGAGCCAAAATTAACATTTGGGATTGCATCAAATTGAGAAGTTTCTGTACTGCAAAAGATACAATCAGGAAAGTGAAGAGACAACCGACAGAATGGGAAAAAATATTTGCAAACTATGCAACAGATAAAGGGTTAATAACCAGAATCTACAAAGAGATCAAGAAACTCCACAACATCAAAACAAATAACCCACTTAAGAGATGGGCCAAGGACCTCAATAGACATTATTCAAAAGAGGAAATCCAAATGGCCAACAGACACATGGAAAAATTTTCAGGATCACTAGCAATCAGGGAAATGCAAATCAAAACCACAATGAGGTTTCACCTCATCCCGGTGAGAATGGCTCACATTCAGAAATCTACCAACAATACATGCTGGTGAGGATGTGGGGAAAAAGGGAGACTAACCCACTGTTGGTGTGAATGCAAACTGGTCAAGCCACTATGGAAGTCAGTCTGGAGATTCCTCAGAAATCTGAATATAACCCTACCATTCAACCCAGCCATCCCACTCCTAGGAATTTACCCAAAGGAAATTAAATTGGCAAACACAAAAGCTGTCTGCACCTTAATGTTTATTGCAGCTCAATTCACAAAAGCTAAGACCTGGAATCAACCCAAATGCCCATCAACAGTAGACTGGATAAAGAAATTATGGGAAATTGTCAACTTTTAAATACAGTCTCAAAAAACAATGTATCACTATTTAGTACTATACCATAGGCTTTGAGTTTTTAGCCAATTTTGCTAGCCCTAGGAAAGGTAAAATAATAGATTGCTCTGTATCTCTACAGGCCTACAGGAATAGGTGCTCTGAGCCTCTAGCAGCCCTGCTGTTTTCCCACATTATGCATCTGGAGGCTGCATTGAGTCATAGGGCTTATCGACAATTAATCAAAATTAACTGATACGTTTCTTTGGGAAGTTTTTTTTTAAAAAATATATTTATTTATTTCAAAGGCAGAGTTACACAGGAGAAACAGAGAGAGAGAGAGAGAGAGAGAGAGAGAGAGAGAGAAATATTCCATCCACTGGTTCACTCCCCAAATGATCACAATGGCTGGTGCTGGGCCAGGCTGAGGCCA